TGAAGTGTAGCGTGTAGTTGCAAGGTATGCCTCTCTCCCTATTAACCCCCATCTACCAACCCAAATGCATTTAGTTATCAATTGATATGAAAGATATTATAGAAAATAGTATCTTTTTAAACTAAACATGATTTCCAACGTTAGCTTTTAAAGAAATAGGTATGTTAGGTAATTGCCACAGTAACAGCTTTAGTGTATATGTGTCTGAATGTATGTAGTAAAGGTGCGTTACTTTCCTCCTTTCCCCATTTTGTTGCTCATCTTGCTACATTCAGGGCAGTTCATTTGTTGCATTCATACCTATTCACATAAGCACGCATGTGCACGTGCGCGCACACACACACACACACACAAAATCACTCACTTCCCATTAGTCCCTGGGAGTAACACCTAGAAAAGCCATCCTGCTGATGAAAGATGTTGCTAATAACAATTTTATGCTACTTCCACCATGTAATTTCAGATTCCGTAATTTTTATCAAGGTGTCTATGAGTGATTATTTCAGGAAATAATCTCAAATAGTCATTCTCATTTCAGAAGCTGTTTCCATACTGAGATAGTCACATTGCAACAGAGAGACTAAATTCAGACTAACTGCATGCTTAGATGCATTCTTCTTGGCAATTGGTCTTGTTCCTTATGGTTGATTGCTATTCCTGAAAACCTTTACACCTGTGGAAAGAAAAAAAAAAAAACACTTGAAAGGTTTTTGGCTTTCACGTGGTAATCACAGCTTCAGCAGCTCCTGATGACCCATGACCGTGGTCATTGCCAGTTAAGTAAAAGGCTCTACTGTGCCTGTTTGCTTAAAAAAAGGTGTTTTCTCACTTCATTCTGATGTCAGTGAGTAGTGGTAGTTCAAGCATGCAGTTCACAAGCTGTTTCATTTTTCCACTGATCTGAAATGTCACTGGAGCATGACACTTAAAAAGAAAGGATCAGTGTCCCTGCGTTTACAAAGAGGACTATTCCAGGTGAAAAAGAATTAATTATAAAGACATATGTTGCATGTTTTTTAAGGCAAAAAAATAATGGACTTCCACACATCTGTGAACCATAGCTTACGGACATCATATATATAGGAAAAAAACAAAATTGGGAATCATGAGGTCTGCCTAGATTTCAAGAATACTCACTCCAGAGTGAGATGTGGCAGAGGCAGGCAATCACCTGCCAGGAATGTTGAGGAGAAGCTTCCTCCTTGGGATGGTAGGCTGAACAACCAAATGACCTCTAAGGCCTTATTTCTCATGGTTCATCTGCCTCAGAATCATCTAGGGAGTTGCTAGATTATTGGACCCCCATCTCAGACTGCTGACTCAGAATCTTTTGTGTAGGGTTTGGGAATCTGAATTCTAATAACCTCCTTAGGTGATTTTGATGCACACTAAAGTTTGAGAACCCCTGCTCTAAGGAAAAGAGCTCTGGGCTAGGAGTCAGGAAACCTGAATTTTGGTTCCATTGCTTCCATAACTTTGCTGGGTGACCCTGAGCAAGCCCCTTGCTCTCTCTGGGCCTCAGTTACCTATCTGTAAAATGAGGGAGTTGAATTAGATGATCTTTGTGGTCTCATCTAACTCTAGTATTTTATTAAAACTACAGTATATTCCCTATTCTACCAATCTACTGAATGACCTTGGCTTGGTCACTTAACTTCAAGTTGCCTCATTTTCCACTCGTCTCTAACAAACAAACAAAAAAAACCCCTACTCATTACTTCTACCAAACACTAGGATACAGGAATGGGAACCAGCCATTTCAGGTTCCATGATAAAACCAGTTATTTACTTATAGTATCACCTGAATCAAGTTAAAGTTTCACACTTCCCACCTCAATCATTGAAATACAAATTAAGCTAATGCCCTTAAAATACTGCCAAGTGTAAGAGTTTTGTTCTCACCATTCAGGTGACCCAAATTGCTGAATCTCATTACCCTTGAAATGCCAATGATAAAGTAAACATAAAATTGTTCCCCTAATTTCTTTGCCACCAAAGGTTTCATACTCTCATTCCATATTAAATGAACATGAGTTAATATATATCCCTTCAAACTTAATCATGTAATCTTCCCTGCACAAGCCTCTTAAAACCCAAGAAACATTAAAAAAAAAAGAAAAAAAAACAGCAAAAGATAATACATTGAGAAATAGTCTAAAGGTCTTGCCTAAGATCAAAAATTCTGATAACACTTCACGTGGGCTAGGCTGGGGAAAGAAGCACTCTCATTCATTGGTGATGAGAATGTAAATTAAATACAACTTCTCTAAAGGGGAATTTGGCAATATCTACCAAAAGGCATACCCTTTAGCCCAGCAATCCCACTTTAGGGAATTGATACTATGGGTGTTCTTTGTACATGTGCCAATGACATATATAAAGTTATTCATTGCAGCATTATTTTTATTAGTAAGAGAAGGGGGGAAAATAAATGTCCATCAGAGATAGTCTAGTTAAATAAATTATGGTATATTCATACAGTGGAATCCCCTGCAAATTTTTCTTAAAGAGTGAGAAAACTCATTCTCTCAGAGTTATGTTAAGTGAGTGAGATGATCTTCAATTTACAGTGAATGAAAAATAAAAGTAAGATGCAAAACAGTGTGTAAGGATATTGCTTTTTGTGAAAAAAAGCATACTACCTGTGTGCTTTTACATGTATAAAATCATAAAGGATACACAATAAACTCATGACATTATGACACTGGTTGCCCCCAAGGAGGGGAACTGGGTGGCTAAGGGACAGGGATAGGAGGGAAACTTTACACTGTATATTTTTTTATACCTTTGAATTTTCAACCATGTGAATGTATTACCCTTCAAAAATATAATGAAAATTTAAAATATAAAAACTCTGTATGTATATTGTGTGCATATATTCATATCAGCATAGAAATACGAATTCCAAAACGCTTAATTGTGCTCACATGGAACCTGTACATAAACCAAGAGGCAGTCATTCGAACAAAGCAAGGAGATACTGCATGGTTTAAAATCAAGAAAGATGTGCACCAGGGTTGCATTCTTTCGCCATACTTATTCAATCTGTATGCTGAGCAAATAATCTGAGAAACTGGACTACATGAAGAAGAATGTGGCTTCAGGATTGGTAGAAGACTCATTAATAACCTGTGATGTGCAGATGACACAACTTTGCTTGCTGAAAGTGAAGAGGACTTGAAGCACTTACTGATGAAGATCAAAGACTACAGCCTTCAGTATGGATTACACTTCAATGTAAAGAAAACAAAAATCCACACAACTGCACCAATAAGCAACATCATGATAAACGGAGAAAAGATTGATATTGCCAAGGATTTCATTTTACTTGAATCCAAAATCAACGCCCATGGAAGCAGCAGTTGGGAAATCAGATGACATATTGCATTGGGCAAATCTGTTGCAAAAGACCTCTTTAAAGTGTTAAAAAGCAGATGTCACTTTGATGTTAAGGTGAGTGTGACCCAAGCCATATTTTCACTCGCTTCATATGCATGCGAAAGCTGGACAGTGAATAAGGAAGACTGAAGAAGTCATGCCTTTGAATTTTGGTGATGGCAAAGAATATTGAATATACCATGGACTTCCAAAAGAACAAGTCTGTCTTGGAAAAAATACAGCCAGAGTGCTCCATGGAAGCACGGTTGGGGAGACTTCGTCTCACATACTTTGGACGTGTTATCAGGAGGGATCAGTCCCTGGAGAAGGACATCATGCTTGGTAAGGTAGAGAGTCAGCGAAAAAGAGGAAGACCCTCAACAAGATGGATTGACACAGTGGCTGCAACAACAGGTTCAAACATAACAACGATTTTGAGGATGGTGCAGGGCCGGGCAGTGTTTCATTCTATTGTACATAGGGTCATTATGAGTCAGAACAAACTCCACAGCACCTAACAATAACAACAACATAGAAATAAGAATATCTGGAAGTATACACACCAAACAGATAGTATGTCTTAAGAGAGGGAGGTGGGAGGTTAGAGGTGTGTAGATGGATGGCGGGGGGGGGGGAGGCGTGGACATTTACTTTTTATATTGCTCTATTTTTAAAATGAGATTTCATAATTACAAAAAGGAAAAAATAACAAGCACATAAAAAAAGTCTTGTACTGTAGGGATGGGAATACTGGGTCACAAGAATAACGCTTTTTTCAGTCCAGTCATAAATGTATGAGAGGCTCAGTTCTATGCACTTGGTGTTGAGTCACATCATTCCTTTGAATCTTTCTAATGGCGTGAGGTAATAAGACTGGCATCTAAGGCCTCACAATGATACAGTAAACTGACCTTCACTCTTAAAACCACCTCTGTGAAGAATATCAAATTTTCCCATATCTGAGGGCAGAATATAAAAAGAAAGGGAGTGGAGAGCCCTTTTCACAGTTCACTCGAAGGCGCAACTCAAACTTCAGAAGTGTTTAGACTTTGGGTCTATGGGAAAGAACTTGGGGTTTGGAGTTAGAAGGCTTATGTTTAAGGCCTGCTACATTATGTACTAGCTGTGGACTTCAGTTAATCAACTACCTCTAACAGTCTCAGTTCCTTCATGTATTAAAAAACGGGGAAGATAATTTCTGTCCTATTATCTATCTCACAAGGTTATTAAGAAAATCAAACTATATAATATAAAAAGTACATTGTAAACTCTGAAGTGCTGTGCAAATACTATCATCTTTCAGTACCCACAGTGGCAGAGATAATGACAATTGGCTATAGTCGTTTCCCCCATATTGTCATGAAGGATATTTCTCCCTCTACTCCAGAATCATGTGGCAACTTTTAAAACATGAAACAGAAAGTCCCTGGTTCAAAATTTAGCATTATACCTGGTTTCTTGCACTTCTGTTGCTTCCAGGCATGGGAAAATGATAAGAATGAGCAGAGAGTACTTGGTAATAGGAAAACAAAATAGAAATCTGTCGTTGAGCTTTATGTCTTTTTGAACCTTTATAAATGGATAAAAATATAATATAAACCTTGAAATTTTTATTATTTCAGTTGTCTACCTCATACTCTACCATGCTATCTTTGTGTTCTTTGCCTGGACCTACTGGAAGTCTATCTTTACACTACCACAGCAGCCAAACCAGAAGGTAAGAATACTGGTTACTTTATAAAGCTAAGAACAGAAGAAAGTAGAGATGCTAATAAAGCAGGAGAGTGGGCAGAAAGTAGAGCAAATAACCTTCCAGTATAAAAGAGAAATTGAGGGTAGTCTTAATGGAGAATTCTTAGTGATAAAGGTAAATTAAAAGGCAGATAGACAATTGAAGGAATTTGTGTAATCACCAGCCCTGGATATTTTTAAGACTAGGAAACACTATTTGCATTAGTGGATATAATTAGAGATGCAAGAATCCACTTGGATTCTGAGGACCCACCTCTTCAGTTCTATGAATCTATTATTTTAGTGTTCAGCAAGACTCTGGAAGTCAACTCAGAGAAAAAAAATCAATAGTTGAATAAATCGTTTTCAAACTGAATTGCTTGAATCCAAGTGTTTTATGTAGTATTTGGAGGGATTCCATGAAAGAGTATGTGATCATATTCATAATGTGTAACTACTTTAAACCAGGTTAGATTCCAAAGTAAAAACAAACAGTGGAAGAGATTTTCAGTCTCCAAACATTAGGACATACTGGTTTAAATTGTCCCCTTCATGAGATCAAAATGGTACACTAGAAGAAGACAGTTATACACAAAAGAAGGCAATAATGCAGGAATGGAGGAACATAAAGAAAGATATAAGACATAGAATACAAATAGCAAAATGGCATATATAAATCCTACCTTGTCAGTAACTACATACATTAAATGGATTAAACCCTACAAACAAAGGAAGAAATAGGCAGAATAGATTTAAAAATATCATCCAACTATGTGCTGTCTACGAAAGACTCACTTTAGAATCAAAGAGACAAATAGGTTCAAAAGGAAATAATGGAAAAAAGTATTCAATGCGATTAGTAACCAAGTAACCTAGATAGTTATACTAATATCAGACAAAATAGACTAAGTCAAAAATTGTTACAAGAGGCAAAGAAGGATATTATATATTGACAAAACAGTTAATTCATCAAGAATGTTGTTATGGATTGAATTGTGTCCCCCAAAATGTGTATCAACTTGGCTAGGCCATGATTCCCAGTATTGTGTGATTGTCTACCATTTTGTCATCTGATATGATTTTCCTATGTGTTGTAAGTCCTACCTCTATGATGTTAATGAGGTGGGATTAGCAGCAGTTATGTTAATGAGGCAGGACTCAACCCAAGGTTAGGTTGTGTCTTCAGTCAATCTCTTTTGAGGTATAAAAGAGCGAAGCAAGCAGAGAGACATGGACCTCATACCATCAAGAAACAAGAGCCAGGAGAATAGTGCATCGTTTAGACCCGGGGTCCCTGTGCTGAGAAGCTCCTCAACCTGGGAGGATTGATGACAAGGACCTTCCCCCAGAGCCAACAGAGAGAAGGCCTTCCCCTGGAGCTGGCACCCTGAGTTCAGACTTCTAGCCTCCTAGACTGTGAGAGAATAAATTTCTCTTTGTTAAAGCCATCTACTTGTGATATTTCTGTTATAGCAGCACTAGATAACTAAGACAAATATATAACAATTATAAACATATGCATACCTAACAAAGGAGACCCAAAATATACAAAGCAAATGGCAAACATTGACAGAATTGAAAGGAGAAATAGTTCTACAATAATAGCAGAATTCAATGTACAACTCTCAGTAATGGATAGAAAAGTAGACAGAAGATCAATAAGGAAATAGAGGACTTGAAAAACACTATAAACCAATTAGACCTAACACATGTATAAAACATTGTACCCAACAGCAATAGAATTAACATCCTTAAATACACATGAGACATTCTCCAGGATAGACCATATGTTAGAACACAAATCAAGTCTCAATAAATTTTAAGAAAAGATTGGAATTATACAAAGTACTTTATTTGACCACACTGGAATGAAACTAGAAGTCAATAACACGAGCAAAACTAGAAAAATTCACAAATGTGTGGACATTTAAAAACACCCCCTCTTAAACAACTGGTGGGTCAAAGAAAAAAATCACAAGAGAAATTAGAAAATACTTTGAGATGAATGAAAAAAAAAAACACAACATAACAAAACAAAACTTATGAGATGAAGTAAAAGCAGTTTTCAGAGAAAAACTTATAGCTGTAAGTGCCTACATTAAAAAAGAAAATCTCAAATCAATAACCTAACTTTATATTTTAAGGAACTAGAAAAAGAAGAGCAGAAGGAAGAAATAATATAGATCAGAGCAGATATGAATGAAATTGAGAATAGAAAAAGAGAGAGAATCAACAAAACCAAAAGTTGGTTCTTTGAAAAGATCAATAAAGTTAACAAACCTTTAGCTTGATGGGATAAAAGGAGAGAGAGAGGGAGACAAAATATAAATCAGTAAAATCAGAAGTGAAAGTGGGGACATTACTAGTGACCCTACAGAAATAAAAAAGGGTTGTAAGAGAATGTGATAAATCATTGTACACCAACAAATTAAATAACCTAGATGAAACAGACAAATTCTTAAAAACACACAATTTACCAGAACTGACTCAAGAAGAAATAGAAAATCTGAACAGACCTATATGACAAGTATAGAGATTGAATCAGTAATGATAATAATAAAAAAAACTCCAAAGAAAAATCCAGGACCAGATGGCTTCACTGATGAATACTACCAAACATTTAAAGAATTAATACCACTCCTTCTCTCTCTATCAAAAACTAGAAGAGGGAAAAACACTTCCCAACACATTCGATGAGGCCAGCATTACACTGATCACCAAAGCCAGATAAAGATACCACAGGAAAACTACAAGCCAGTATCTCTTAAGAATATAGATGCAAAAATCCTCAACAAAATAACAGCAAACTGAATCCAGCAGCAGATTAAAAGGATAATACACCATGACCAACTGGATTTATCCCAGGAATGCAAGGCTGGCTCAACAGAAAAAATCAATCAATGTAATATAGTACATTAATAGAATGAAGGAAAAAAAACCCATATGATCATCTCAATTGGTACAGAAAGAGCATTTGACAAAATCCAACACCTTTTTATGATTAAAAAAAAAATTCGAGAAACTAGGAATAGAAGGGAACTTCCTCAAGATGACAAAAGGCATTTATGAAAAACCCACTGCTAACATCATACTCAATGGTAAAAAACTGAAACCTTTCCCCCTAAGATCAGGAACAAGACAAGGATACCCACTTTGTCCAATTTTATGCAACATTGTACCTGAAGTTCTAGCCAGGTCAGTAAGGCAAGGAAAAGAAGTAAAAGACATTTAGGTTGGATAAGAAATAAAATTATCTCTATTCACAGATGACATGATTTTACATGTAGAAAATCCTAAAAACAATCCACAAAAAACCTACTATAGCTAATAAATGAATTCAGCAAAGTTTCAGGATATAAGATCAACATGCAAAAACCAGTTGTTTTCTATACATTAACAACAATTATAAAAGGAAATAAAACAATTACATTTACAATACTATCCAAAAATACTTAGGAAGAAATTTAACAAAGGAGGTGCAAGACTTGTACACTGAAAACTATAAAACATTGTTGAAAGAAATTAATGAAGTCCTAAATAAATGTAAAGCTATCCTGCATTCATAGATTGGAAGACAAAATTTGGCAGTACTTCCCAAAGCAATCTATAGATTCGATGCAATCCCATCAAAATCTCAATGGCTTTTTTTTTTTTGGCAGAAATTTTATGGAATGGCAAGAGAACTAGAATAGCCAAAAAAGAACAAAGTTGGAGGATTCACACTTGACGATTTCAAAATTTACTGAAAAGCTACAATAATCAAAACAATAAGGTACTGGCAAAAGAACAGACGTATAGGTCAATGGAATATAATTGAGAGTCCAGAAATAAACCCATGCATCTATGACCAGTTGATTTTCAGTAAGTGTGCCAAGACCATTAAATGTAGGAAAGACTAGTTTCTTCAACATATGGTGCTGGGACAGCTGGATATCCATATGCAAAAGAATGAAGTTGAACCATACCTCACACCATATACAAAATTAACTCAAAATGAACCAAAGACCTAAATGTCAGAGCTAAAACTATAAAATACTTAAAAGAAAATATACCTGTAAATCTTTATGACCTTTGATTTGGCAATGGATGTGTTCTTAGGTACAATACCAAAAGCACAAACAACAACAAAAATAGATAAATTGGACTTCATCAAAATTAAAACCTTTTGTACATCAAAGGACACTATCAAGAAACTGAAAAGACAACACACAGAATGTGAGACAGTATTTGCAAGTCATATATCTAATAAGGATCGAGGATTCAGAATATATAAACAACACTTAAAACTCAATATCCAAGGGACAAACTCTCCAATTTAAAAATCGTGAAAAGACATGAATAGACTATTCTTCAAAGATATATAAATGTCCAAAAAGCACATCAAAAAGATGCTTAATAGCATTAGCAATCACAGAAATGCAAATCAAAAACACAATGATATACCACTTCACACCCACTAGGATGGCTATAATTAAAAAACAGAGAGAGAGAAAAAAACCTATTAGTGAGGATGTGAAGAAATTAGAAGTCTTATACATTCCTGGTGGGAATATAAAATGGTGCAGCCACTTGGAAAACAGTTTGACCAGTCCTCATAAAGTTAAGCATAGAATTATCATATGACCTAGCAATTCCACTCTGATGTATACACCCAAAAGAATTGAAAACCAATGTTCAAACAAATACCTATACAGAAATGTCCATAGCAACACTATTCACAGTATCCAAAAGGTGTAAACAACCCAAGTGTCCATCAGCTGATGAATGGATAAACAAAATGTGGAATAGTCATAAAATGGAATATTATGTGGTCATAAAAAGGTATCAAGTACTGATACATGCTACGACATGGATGAATATTGAAAATACCATGCTAAGTGAAAAGACATCACACACAAAAGGACACCTATTGTATGATTACATTTATATGAAACATCCAGAATAGGTAAATACACTGAGACAGAATACAGATTAGTGGTTGCCCAG